AAGATTTTCGGCCATACCCTTCAAAAGAGAAGGATTCTTTTATTTTTTTATAAACTCAAAGTTTATAAAATATAAACTTTGTCTTTAGGTAAAAGACAAAAGAATCCAACTAGTCCAAAAGGTTGTGTATTACTTATTAATTCATACCATATGAAACAATTAATTAGTTATACTCTCTTGTAATTATTATTTTCAAAAAACAATAATGGTAAAGAAATTTGGCATGTTGCTCACTAAACCTCCGTAATACCTAACAATTCGAGTCTTATGTCGGTCATATAGAACACCAACACATAAAAAAAGGGCTGAAGAAACTAGTCCATGATTTAACATCAATAAAATGCTACCTCTAACTCCCTGTATGTTCAGACTAAACATACAATAGTTACCAGATTCATATATTCCCTAATTAAAATACAAGAATTGATATTTTTTTAATAATCATATTAATAATAAATATACAAAATGTTCCAACTTCATAAATGTGTAACCCTATAGGATCATATATTATTAGCAATGTCACTCTATAATGATTCTTGGGCATATTGATTCAAAAATGCCCTCATTCTCTCCATTTCCTTGAGCATCATCTAGTTGTCCTCTTGATGCGAAGTAACTTGTCGTTCCAGTCTCTTCATCATAGCAAAGAGCCCACTGATGGAAATCATTACAGGAGGATCCTAAAATCCTTGGGTAGTGACTAGAGAGGTGTTTTTTTGGTGCCTTAGAAGTCTTCTTAGGTTCTCTGCTTGGAGGTGGTGGAAGGGTTTTAGAGGAAATAGGAGGAATAGAGGAAGAGGATAAGGTCGGTTGGGTAGACATTATTCTTGCACTATTGTGAACACCATGGCCACACAGTCGGCACCAAATTGTTTTGGTCGAAAAGTAAGCAAGTATTATTCAACCAAATTATATGAGAGGCTTTGGTGTTTAAGGTAATGCAAGTATCAAGTAATTATAAAAGTGAGACAAGTGAGTTACAAGAAAAGCCCTTGATCCATTATAGGATCTTCGACATAAAACCTTGGGAGGTGATAATGATCACTTTCCTTGTTTTTATTGATTTAAATGTGAGATTATAGAAACGTTGATGATACTACGAATACAAATGTAGTAGTCAGCTAATCATGTCCATAGTGGGTGAATTATAGGTGTATTTATAGTCTAGACTAAACAACAATAAGTCCGAAATTTTTGGGATCCTCTTGAATGAGTATATGCACGTTGTTTGATTGGTTATCCCAGGTCTTAAGCCTAGTTAAAGCGATTATTTGTTAAGAATGAGTCTTATGTTGACCATTTCTACACAAGTGAGAAAAAGAAATAGAAATATATCCATTAAAAGTGTTAGGAAATTATAACGATGGTGATCAGGATCCTAAGGTTTGTCTAAGGATCTTGAAACTTTGTTAACATCAAGGATCCTGAATATGGTTCTGGGATCCTACCCCTAACACATACATGTCCCAATAAACTTTATAATCAATCTAGTGTCACTTGTATTATACCATTGCATAGTAGTTCATAAAATTGGTGAAAACACTAGGAGATCGGACAAAGACTTCTAATAACATTTATATTGGTAACCAAATAAAGACCATCCATGCCTTGAAACTAACCATAGGAACAATGGTGATTCAAAGCTAAACGGAAGTGTTTGAATTATCTTGATTTAGAATCATCTTTAGTTATATGATTGCTTTAGTTTTTAGTTGTTTGAGTAATTAAGTTAATCTGAACTTGCAAAATCAAATAAAACACCCCAAATTTAGCTGCTTTTCTTAGTTTAACTTTTTGTAGTTATTTTATTAATTAAATATTGTTCCATGTGATTGAAACACTACTTACTTTACTATCATATAATTCGACTAGGTACAGTGCCTAAGTGCATTAAGTTAGTTAGGTTTAGTTAGGTTTATAAACTTAAAACTAGTTGGTATAATTGTGCACATCAATGATCCTCTTGCCACCAAGTACGGGGACATTCCTCTTAAAGACATTCAATGAAATATAGATATGGGTCATGGACCACAGTTAAATCTCTTACAGAGAAACTCAAGGACTAAATCTTTCTAATACATTAGCGGGTACATGTGATTACGGCTGTATGAAAGAAATTTTCAATTAGGGCTTTAGAAGGTGAATTGCTCATTCAATTCAAGCTTTCAATTTAGTAATCATTAAGAATCATATGTCATGATTTGAATTAGGGTTTATTTGATTTCCAGGAATTTGGAAAACCAGATTATGTAAGAGATGCTTATGTGATGATTCTCACTTTTTGGTGATTTGTTATCCATTGATTCTAACATTTGCAGTTTATATGAATCGTTTTTAGGGATACTATTGTGACACGTATCATCTTCCTCGGTTTATTCATATATTGTCCCTCTAATGTAAGACATGGTCTTCCCCTATCTCAATTCTCAAGTAACCCGTTTACATTTGACTGGTTAAAATGGTAATAAGCTCAATTGGATCAAATTATTTCAACTTATATGGTTTTATGTGTTTCACTAGATTATATAATTACCTTTTATATGCTTGCACAATGTATTCAATCGATTTTGTTTTGTCACCATCATGGAGTGATATTCTTTACACCAATTTTGAAACAATCTTTTATTAGAGGAATCGAAGACTGTGATTAAAGGCAAGCCCGATCTTGTGATGTGAATGCGTAGATCTATTGTTTTGAAATCAGTCTAATTTAATGTATCTGCTAGGTTTTGATTCATACACATTTTGGATCGATAAAATTTGATTTTATAGAGGCTATATAGAAAAAAAAAAACATTGTTCATTAATGCTAAGAAACATGATGCATTGTGGTGCATTTGTGTGCTCTTACTTTTAATGTGATTTTATACATTGATTGATTCTATGCATAGTTACTTCCACAAAACAATGCATGAGGAAAGTTTCACTTGTAAAATTGATTCACTTTATGTATACTTTTCTATTTGATTTTATTACAATTGTTTGACTCTGGATAATGAATTTTATAGAAATCATTTGAAGAGGGTGCAAAGGTATGTTTTTGCTCTTATCACCCAAATGATATATTATTTGTTTCTTTTTTTCTATCAGAATCTAATTAAATTGTAATGTTTCATTTTGTTTTCAAGTTGCAAATTACAAAACTCTCTTCAATCATTAATACATATTTTATATTAAGATTGTAATGTTAGGTCGGCCAAGCATTAATACATATTTTATATTAAGATTGTAATGTTAGGTCGGCCAAGCAAATGGGTTGAATGATATATTATTTGTTTTTTTAGAATTCTAATGAAAATTGTATTGTTTTATTTTGTTTTCAAATTGTAACTTACAAAACTATCTTCAATCATCATCATCGGTATATTAACGGTATATTAAGATTGTAATGTTAGGCCTCACATTCAAATGGGTTAAAGATCTACAAATAAAAATGTATTTATTTGCTCATTTTTAAGGATAAAGTTGTCCAGTTATAGCATAAAATCTTGGGAAAGTCACATTCTAAATACCATTATGTTTTTCTCGTGAAATTATGATTTAAATAACATTATTTACCATTATGTTTTTTTCGGGAAATTATGATTTAAATAACATTATTTACTTTTCATTACAATGTCGCATATTATTTATAATAACGATGTACATCAATCATTATATACAAATTTTGTGAGCATTAGTATTATTAAATAATAATTTCTTTATTATATAATTTTTTTTATCGTTAACCTAGTAGAAACTAGAAACAACATAGTGTGTTTATGACGGGTATAAACCAAACGTTCACCATAATCTCCACTCTTCTAGTCTTTCTTAGATACAGGGACTTAGTCATTTGCCTTTAAAAAAATAAAATAAAAATCATGATAACGACTACACTACTTTTCATGAATTTTATTTATATATCATTCAATTTCTATAATTTTCTAGAACAAAGTATGAAAAGTCAAGTCCGAGTCTCCTATCCGATCAAACAAGTTTGATTGGCTTATAAAATACGGCAAGTTGACTCCATAAATTTTTCTTTATTTTCTATACCTTATTTAATAAAAGCTAGTTATATTTTTAAAAAAACTTGTAGGATTACAATTTGTGTTACATGCACACAATACACCTAGTTAACACCTCAAAGCTTTTTGGTTAATTTTCATTACGCCTGTAACTAAATCAATAAAACCTAAAAAAAATAATAATAATAAAATAAAATAAAATAAACAAAAACAAAAAATTTAAAAAAATATGTTTACATGTTATATAGGAAACAATACAGACCTTAGACTACACAGTATATGACCGTTTTTAGGTGTTATGGCTGGCGTGGAGGTGTTTTAAAGACATTATAACATCGGGAGCACCGTCCCCTATCATATTAAGAGATGTTTTGGTAATAAATGCTATAACTACTATGATGGGCAACACTCTAAATATTAAGGAACATTACGTCGATTAGTTAATTTGCGGGTGACAAACACCACCCCTTAACTAGATTTTTTTGCTAATGACAAAAATTCAATGGTTTGAACTTTCAGATGTCAAATAGAGATTGTTTGAAAGTTTGGTTTTCATATTGGTCATTGCAAATTTATTATTATTATTATTATTATTATTATTATTATTATGGTAAAAATATCACCACATCTTACTTATAGATAAATTTTAGCAAAAATGATAAAATCTTACATGACGTCTATATGTTACGTTTTTATCATTGGCAAAACAACCGCCACACCATTTAGTTTATAATATTTGAACACCATTTCCTAAATAAATGATATTTTATTAAGAATGATATGGCATGTAATGTGACCATAACATGTCTTAAGGTATCTATTATATATACAAGTCCTTCATTTTTTAAACATTTATTTTGATTTATAGACGCTTTAGTTATAATTTAGTAATAGACATTTTTAAATACTAAAAATCTGCTTACAGAATGTTCCCACTACCCTGTGCTTTTTCCTATAAAACCCGGCGAAATATACTGTTTACTTCAATAGATGGCGAATTCTAGTTCACATGTAGCCAGTTTTGTTCCCTTTGTCTTCACCATTTTCCTTATCTTCAATATAGCAAAAGCCCAATCCAATGTAACACGAGGTTCTTCTTTAAGGCCTACAGGTGCCACCACCTCATGGTTATCCCCGTCGGGACTATACGCCTTCGGTTTCTACCCACAGACAGGTGGCTACGCCGTCGGTATTTATATTGCCGGAATTGCAGAAAGAACTGTTGTATGGACCGCCAGCCGTGAAACCCTTCCACTCTCAAATAATGCTACTTTGCGTTTCACAACCGATGGAAGGCTCGTCGTCGACCAACCACAAGGCCAACAGATCAGTATCTCTGATACCCGTGGTATCGGTGCTACCGTTGCTTCCATGAAAGACTCCGGCAACTTTGTGCTCTATGATTCCGACCGGAGGACGATATTGTGGCAAAGCTTTGACCACCCCACTGATACCCTTTTGGTTGGACAACGTCTTGTACCCCGTCAAGCCTTACTTTCTTGTGTATCGGAGGCAGATCACTCCATTGGGATCTTCAAGCTGAGTATGCAAGTCGATGGGAACCTTGTCCAATACCCAAATTTAGGGTTTCCAGATTTTGCTATTACTTCATACTATGCGTCCAACACCGACGGCACCGGACCTAACGTGACACTGAATCTTGATTCCGATGGCTTTCTATACTTGTTGCAAAATTCAAGTTTTTATATCAGGAATCTAACAAAAGGAGGCTATCCTAGAGAAGATGCAATCTATCGCATGAAGATCGACGTGGACGGAATCTTTCGACTTTATTTTCATAATTTAAGTAACACGAGCCAGAATGAATCATCAGTCATTTGGGCATCTTCGACAGACAAGTGTAGGGGGTTGGGTCTTTGTGGCGTAAACGGGTATTGTGATCTCATGAACGAGGCTGCAAGATGCAGATGTTTACCGGGGTTTGATTTTGTGAATCCGGAGTCTTGGTCTTCCGGTTGCAAAAGAAATTACACAGCAGAAACCTGCAAAATTCAGGATGGAAATGAAGGTAACTTGTCGCAGATGATGACAATGTTGAAGCATACTAGATGGGAAGATACGGCTTATGCTCTCCCAAAAGCGTCAAACCAACAAGAGTGTTCACTTGCATGCATGAAGGACTGCAACTGCGAGGCCGCACTGTTCACAGGAGATAGTTGCAGGTTGCAGAAGCTCCCTTTAAGATACATTCAAGTAAGAGAAAATGAACCAAATGTCGGATTCATTAAAGTATATCTATCTTCTGTAGACAACGGATCGGATCCAACTATTTACCCATCAATCCAGGTCAAGAAAGTGCGACAAGTGATGTTCTTTGTTATAGGGGTTTCAATTATCTCATTTGCAATACTCATTTTGCTACTTTCTGGAGTAATCATGTGGAGATCTCACGTTTGGGCATACAAAAAGATTTCTGAGCATGTAAATGTTCAGTTGTTCGAGGATGTTGGGCTCCGGGCATTTTCATATGCTGAGCTAGAGAAAATCACAGATGGTTTTAAAGAAGAATTGGGTAGAGGATCGTTTGGGATAGTTTATAAAGGAATTATAGAGAGCTCGATGAAGATTGTGGCAGTGAAGAAATTAAAACAAGAGTTGGCACAAGAAGGGGAAAGAGAGTTTCAAACTGAAATGAAAGTGATTGGGAGAACTCATCATCGTAACCTAACAAGGCTACTTGGTTATTGTTGTGATCATGGTCCGGAAAGGCTCCTGGTTTTTGAGTATATGACCAAAGGATCACTTGCAGATATATTATTCGACCCCGAAAGCAAGCCATCTTGGTCAGAGAGAATAAGAATTGCGCTTGACATTGCCCATGGGATCTTCTACCTACATGAAGAATGTGAAACACCCATAATTCATTGTGACATCAAGCCTCAAAATATCCTCATGGACGAGTATGGATGTGCCAAGATTTCAGACTTTGGATTGGCAAAACTACTGGAACATGACCAAACTAGAACGTCCACTTTGATAAGAGGAACAAGGGGTTATGTTGCTCCTGAATGGCACAAGAAGCTGCCTATAACAGTTAAAGTGGATGTGTATAGTTTTGGGATTGTTCTCTTTGAGATTTTATGTTGCCGAAGGAAGCTTGACAACAACCTTCCATCTGATGAAGCTATTCTCCAAGATTGGGTCTATGAATGTTATGAAACAAATGAATTATTCAAACTAGTGAATGATGCAGACGTCGATAGAAAGACACTAGAACGGATGATCAAGATAGGCCTTTGGTGCACTCAAGAGGATCCGTCCCTCCGCCCCTCGATGAAAAAAGTAGTGTTGATGCTTGAAGGGACGGTCAAAATCCCAGTACCTCCAAATCCTGCTTCATTCTTGAGTATCGTTTAGTTTTGCAAGTATGAGTTCATGAATAACTCTCTTCATGTTATATTTAATTAGTCATTTGTAACACACATGCAATTTTTTCACAAACACATGCCCCATTCTTGATACTAGTTGTAAAACGGAAAAATGAATTATAAGCCCAACGAAATTTTCAAACCGTTTAAAAAACATCAATTATGTTTTGTTTGTTCAAGAAACCCAACAAACTTAACCATTTGTCTAAAAAAGCTACCTAACTTACACTTCTCATTTAGGGTCAATCGGCTAACGAAAATCAACGAATAACATGGCTTATGACGTGTAATTAAATATCGGTAAATAACTTGTAAGATCAACGAAGTTTCAAAAACGTTCACAAAACCTAAATCATATTTTGTTTGTTGAAAAAAACCCAACGAACTTATGTTTTTGTTCAATTCTCATTAAAGGCAACCATATTCATTAGATATACAACTAATTGGCAAATGACATGACATTATATTTAATAACATGGAATAAACATATTAGAGTTGTCCTTTATATATCAATTTAGTGCTTGGAGAAGAGAAAAACGAACGGCGTCTGTGTTCGATCTCTTGTAATAGCTACTTCTTCTTCTTCCCTTCAATCATTGATGTCCAACTCAAGATCGACAAAGAAGATATTTGATGATAAAAACTCTTATGGATGTAGTCGCCTTCTCGGATTTAGACATCTAGAATAGAAGATCATCCGGAGATAATTTTTAGGGTTTGTTCAAACAGATGGGTAAGTGTAACTAAAAACTTTATCATGTAAATTTTATTAAGTTTTTGTTTTAAAAGAAACCAAACAAATAGATAGAATATGGACATAATAAAGCTTTCAATTACACTTACTCATCTGTTTGAACAAGCCCTGAACTTTTTTCTCTGAATGATCCTCCGTTCTAGATATCCAAATCCAAGAAGAGCATCCACATCCATAAGAGTTTTCATCATCAAATATCTTCTTTGTGGATCCGTCGTTCGTTTTTCTCTTCTCTAAGCCCTAAATCGATATATAAAGGGAAATTTAATCTGTTTATTCCATATCATTAAATATAATGACATGTCATTTGCCAACAAGTTTTATACATAATGAATCTGGTTGCTTCTAATGAGAATTAAACAAAAGCATAATTTCGTTGGGTTTTTTCAACAAACAAAACATGATTGAGGTTTTTTGAATGGTTTTGAAACTTTGTTGGTCTTGCAAGTCATTTTCCGATATTTAATTACACATCATAAGACATGTTATTAGTTGACTTTCATTAGTCGGTTTACCCTAAACGAGAAGTGAACGAAAGTGTATGTTAGTTGGGATTTTTTAGACAAAATGTTAAGTTCATTGGGTTTTCTTGAACAGACAAAACATAATTGGATTTTTTGAACGGTTTGAAAACTTCGTTGGGTTTATAAGTCATTTTCTCATTGTAAAATAAGTGGAATTAAAAGTAGTTACGTTTTATTAATGATCATGCATGGTTCAAGTAAGTAATCTATCGTAGTAAAAAAATATTTTTTTAATTAAACACATATACTTAACATTTCACACGGGTCGTGTCAATTTGGTCATGGGGCTTTACACGGGTCATGTACATCCTGACATGGGTCATGTCCTTCTAGTGCATGCCAACACAGGGTTGTGTCCAGGATCAATCCATTGGTTTTCCATGACCCGGGCGAAAAAACTAAAAAAAGCCCTTGTCTGTATACATTACACATATTATCTATATACAAGATCATTTCTATAATACTGAATTATAATACATTGTTTTAAAACCTTCCTACCCATATATCCATATAAAATTAAAGCTTGCAAATAACACCTAAAATTTAACACTCTCATGAAATTATAATCCAATACAACAATCTAGTAAATCTTTAATTTGGAAAATAGTTCCATTCTTTTTTTTCAAACGATAAATTTTAATGAACAATAAAATATTACCAACTGAAAAATAGTTAATACGATGTTTTTGAATATATTAAAATATAATATAACCAAAAACAAAAACCTAGAAGATAAGCTAAAGTAGCAACTATATTATGTGAAAATAAAAAATAATAAATAAATAAATAAACCAGAAAATAAAAAATAATAAATAAATAAATAAACCAACAAGCACGACTAGGATGTAGAGAACAACAAAATACAGTTGATTCCAAGTAATCCCAAACATAACAATAATTAGTAACCAACTTCAAACACTTTAAAAATAGAATTTGAAGCAAGAATATGAAAGAATCTTATAAACTTTTTAAACACTAACAAAGAGAAAAGTTTCATTGTATTTTGCATCTCATCAACAAAGTGATGCTTATTCTCCATTGATGACTTAATGAAAGCAAACATCTAAAACCATCTTGTTGACTACAAGATTCAAATCAAGAAAGCATAATAAATATTTCAAAACATAACAAGTTTAATTTATCAATAATTTCAAATTCTATTTTAAAATTAAAGAAATAAATATTTAGCAACTATTAAAATTATGAAATTAATTAAACTGAGAATCAAATTACCAATTTAGTGATTTAGACTTTAGTAATCACCAAAACTTGCACACATTTAGATATTAATAGAAATTGATTCTAATTTACCAATTAATATGGAGAAAATCAATATAGATATTCAAAATTTGAATTGAAAAAAAGTGTTCGTTGGTTCATTATTCTTTATTTCGTAATAGCGAATGAGAATTAAGAAACTTACAGATAGAATCATGCAGGGGTGAATGTATACATTTTCATGTAAAAAATCAAGAAGTTATCATCATACTTGGGTGTTTTCTGATTGATTGGGTTGACCGATATAGGTAAGGATTTTGTGTGCATCCATCTTCTACGAGTCATTCTCTCATAGTGTAGGGTTGTTGCTACCCTTTTAACTCTCAATACATGGCTATCAACTAGATCCTCGTCTTTGAAGCTACATATTTGTGCTTTTCGTTGTTATTTAATATTGCTCCCAGTCTCCTCATTTTCTTCAATTCTCAACGACTCTTCGAATTAGATGTGTGAGGTACATTTACCAAAATATTAATGCATATTTTTCCCGCCTCGTTCTCAAAACCTTAAAATCGTGCCCTAGTTAACTCATCATATTTATTGAGCCCAAATAAGATGTGTACCCATAAGACTAAAACAAAATCTGATGCCCTCATGTCCGTTGTTGCCCTAGGCCTCGACCCTGCTCTCCCAGCCCTTGGGTCGGGCTTAGTCATGGCAATCGAGAAAAAGGCCAATTTCAGCATTGTACTTTGGGGGTGGGTAAAAAAAGACAGCATATTGTGTCATTTTATCTATATTTGACACAGGGTCGTGTCAGAAGCATAACTGCCTTTTGATAGTTTTTCCTTTGACCTATTTCGGGACTTTTGGCCATTCTAGACATTTTCTCTCATTTCGGGCGACCAAGGGGTAATTTCTACATAAGATTTTAGCAATTAACTTTGGAGAGATCATTTGGAAACAATTTATTTCATCTTTGTAAACAACTTTAGTACTTCAATTTCATTTCTAGACTTGTTCATTGTGTTCTAGTCATGTGTGGCCAGAACCCTGGTTCCTCCAACTTTATGTTTTGACTTTTTGCTTGTGATTTCAACCATATGACTTGATGTGCTTTCAATTTCTATCTAGTGAATTTGATTTTGTTTTAATCAAATGTGTGATTCTAATTTTAGTACGTATTAGCCATTTGAATTAGGATTAGGTCATACAAGTTATCTAATTTCAAAATCAATAATTGTTTTGTGAATTAGACTAGGTAACAAGCACTAAAATGATTTACAATGAATGAATTTAGTGTAAATATTATTCATACACTCTTATGCTCCCGAGCTTGTGAGGAGTATTCGATGTTTTTGGGAACATTCACATCAAACTTAATACAAACTTTTGATTTCTATCTAAGAACTTGTTTAGACTTAAATTAAAAGTGTAACACCCGATGCTTGATATGCTTCCTTTCAAGTATTTCTTATGCTTTTCTCTAGGACTCGACGAGTTGGTGGCCCAACTCATCGAGTAGAGTCGTGACCAGTGGGGAGTTTAAATGACCTACTCGACGAGTTGAGAGACTGATTCGCGAGTAGGTGTTGTTTGGGCGAAACCCTGATTTTGAGGGTTTGTGCCCTATTTAAAAAACTTATCTCAGCCTCCAAAGTCCCTATTACTCCCAGAAAGCATTATCTCGAAACCCTAGCCTTGTGTGAGTGTCCTAAGGCCATTTTGGTGCATTTTGGTGGATTGTGAAGCTTGAAAAGAGGAAGGGAGCTTGAGAGTTCAATTTGGGGGTGGAGATCCAAAGATTTTGTTCCATTTCTAGCTCATTCAAGGTAAAATGCCCCTGTATTGGTCTTCCATGTTTTTATTTATCCTTAGGGATTGGATTTTGAGTATCTTTAGGGATTTCTAAGCCATTTTTGGATTTGTGAAGGGTTACATGGAGTTTTGACTTCAGATCTAGGTCATTAGAGGGGTCTCATGGCATAAAGGTGCCAATTCTATGGCCATGAGATCCCCATGCACTTTGTTGAACATCTTTTATGGCTTTTTGAGCCAAAGACCCCTTGCATGTGCACCAAGCTTTTAACTTTACATGTAAAATGGACATTAGGAGACCAGATCTATGGTTTTGATGTGTTAAGACCCATTTAAAACGAATGTATAGTGATGATCAAGGATGGACTCAACGAGTCGTTCTTGGGACTTGGCGAGTCGGGGTGTAATGACCACCAAATCCTTTCTATTGATGGATCAGATGATAGTGTGGAAGGTCCCTCAGTTGTTTAGGCTCATAAGTGACTTGGGAATCATGGGACTCGACGAGTGTTCGAGCAAACTCGGCGAGTCCAAAGCAATCTCCCAATCTTTGAAGATGAACTCGAAGAGTTGTTCATACAACTCGGCGAGTCATAGACTGGACGCATTCATACGCTGAAGATGAACTCGAGGAGTTCAAGGAAGAACTCGACAAGTCGGTTCAAGATTGACTGA